TTCGAAGAGGCTGTGAGCGTCGCATTGAATGCGGAGCACAACTTTAAGTCGTCGAGACTTGGGTGGAATGCGTCTTACGCTAGCGCGTCGAGTGGTCCGGAACCCATGGACCTCAGCTATGCTGAAGACGAAGAAGCCGAGCTTCGTAGCGTCGCGGTATCCGCAGATGCTTCATCTGTGGTGACACCCGTCACCTTCGTGCTGGGTGTCCGCTGCGCCATCAGCGCCAGGCTTCGTCAAGCCGCTCTTCGAGTTCGAGCCAGGGCTCTGGTTTGTCTCGGGGAAACGAGAAGTCCCAGTAGGCGCGGGGCGGCCTACTGGGGAAGAACTAAGTTCTATTGAGCCTCGGCGAGGTGGAGGTCGACAGGACTTAGCCCCGAAGAGAGCCGTACTCTCTAACACGGAACGTGTATGCAAGCCGGGCTTGCTAGTTGTCCAAGCTTGGGTGAAGGGCTTCACGAAGCCATGGACGATTTTGATCGATTCGGGGGCGTCGGGTAACTACGCCCGGCGTTCTACGATGGACGGAAGTCAGCTTTATGCTGAGGCGCTGGTAGCGCGCGGGAGTGACATCGTCACTGTTCGTCTCGCGACGGGCACTCGTGTCACGGTGCCTAAGGTCCCTGTGGACCTGGGCGTGAAGTTTTTGGATTTTGATAGCGTGGAACGCTGTCTGGTCTTAGACCTCGATTCGAGATATGATCTCATCCTTTGTATGGCGTGGCTGGAACGCCACGAGCCTTGGATCGGTTGGAGGTCGAAGACCCTTGGTGCTACGCACTTCTCTCCTGGCGGAGCATTGGCGAGTCATGAACCCATCTCTGCTAGGAAGCAGAAGCGCTTTTGGCGCGAGCACTGGACCGAGTCGGTCAATGTGCTGGACATCGGAGTTTCCGAGTTGGTGGACACTGAGTGTGTCGAGAACGAACGTTCCGAGCGTGGCTTGCGGACGGCAGGTGGAGCGGCACGAATTCCGCTGAGCGGGCGTGCATCTGAGGGCGACGCCCTGCTGCGTGCCAGCGACGGCACGGTCGGTATGATGCCGAATAACAAGGGGCTTTGCCCGGATGAAGATCGTGGAGTGGCACGTAATCCACTGAGTGGAGGCTGCGGATCGTGCAGCTCTTCGCGTGTCGGTAAAGACACTGGAGCTCCCCCGGAGCTGAACGAGGTGGTGACACCTGGCGTCAAGACGCACGTGAAATCACGGAGCTCTTCAGAGCGGACGGTGTCCATGAAGAGGAGGCAGCGCCGCAAAGCGCTGGCTGCGAGACGCAAGGCGTCTGCGATCTCACGAGTCGAGAAGGACGTGTCGAGCGGCGAGGCTCCACACGAGAGCGAGCAGCTCTATACACTCGTGAATGGAGTGACGGACGACGTCGACGGTGGTATTAACCTCGACGACTTGCCCTCACTGTCTGCTCTCCTGGAGCTGGACAAGATGTCCTTGGCCGAGTTCGGCGAAGCCTTGAAGGCTGGAGACTTGGCCGAGTTAGTGGTCATACGACTCGAAGAAGAGTTGAACTCGTCCACGCTTCTGGATGAAGCTGTCCTGGAAGACACCAAGAAGGCGCTGAATGCGCGGAGCGGATCGGCGATCTTGAAGGACCCGTCGGATCCCTTGTATCAAGTGGTAAAGGATTACCAGGACGTGGCCTCGAAGGAGCCGCCCTCGGAGCTACCTCCGGATCGAGGTGTTCGACACGAAATCGATCTCGTTCCGGGAACGAAGTACTGCGGGACGAGGCAGTGGCCCTTGCCGAAGGAGCAGTGTGACGTCATTGACGCGTTCTTCCGTACGAAGCACGAGGCGGGCATGGTGCGTATGAGTAAGTCTCCACACTCTACGCCGACGTTCTGTGTCAGAAAGCCGAATGGCAAGTGGCGTATCGTGCATGCTTTCAACAAGCTGAATGCCGCTACCATCCCGGCGCAGACGCCGATTCCACGGAAGGATGTTCTTCAGAACAACATGACAGGATGTACGATGTACAGTGCGCTCGACTTGGTCGATGGATATTACCAATTGTTCATGAGGACAAGCGACATTCCTCTCACCGCGGTGAGTACTCCGAGCGGCATGCTCTGGGAGTGATTGGTGATGCCCCAAGGGCTTTCGAACACGCCGGCGACGTTTAATCGTCTTGTGACGCAGCTCTTCAGGCCCCATCGGGCGTACGCGCAAACGTACTTCGATGACATTGTTGTCCACAGTCGCGCGGAGCACGGAAAGACTGATATGGAGAACCATGTTGAGCACCTGCGTGCTGTGCTCGAATGCGTGCGTCAAAACAAGTTGTACGCCAACATTGACAAATGCATCTTCGGAGCGGAAGAGATCCCCTTCTTAGGGTGCTTCATCGGGAAGCGTGGCCTGAGGGCCGACCCGGTCAAGGTCAAGGCCATTGTCGACTGGCCGGTTTCCAAGAACCAAAAGGATCTTCGCAAGTGGCTTGGCTTGGCCAATTACTTGCACAAGTACAGCGAGAGCTACGCTGAGATGGCTCGGCCACTCTCCAATCTCCTGAAGAAGGATGCGGAGTGGTGTTGGAGCACCGAGCATCAAGATGCGTTCGCGGCCATTAAGGACAGTCTCCTTCATGCGCCTATTCTGGTTCTGTCAGACCCGCTCGTCCGTTTAGTGTCGTCTGTGACACCTCGGACTTTGCCATCGGCTGTGCACTGCTGCAAGCAGACGCCGAGGGGCGCGAGCGCGTGGTGGCGTTCGAATCTCGCCAGCTGAAGGCTGCGGAGAAGAACTATCCTGTCCACGACAAAGAGCTACTTGCGATGAAGTATGCGCTCGTCAAGTTCAGGGTGCACCTGTTGGGCTCTCAGCCGTTCGTGATTTACACGGATCATGCGTCGTTACGCACTGCGACTCAGTCGCCTCACCTCTCGCAAAGGATGGCCCGTTGACTGTCCTTCTTCGCGGAGTACAACTTCGAGGTGAAGTACAAGCCTGGCAGGCAGAATGTCCTTGCGGACGCGCTGTCGCGCAGGCCGGATTATGAGCTGGCTCATGTAACGACTGTGACTTCGTCATTACCGGATTTGATCCGAACGGTTTATGGCAAGGACGACACCTGTGTCGCGTTGCTGAAGGCTCTGGGGAGCAAGGCGTTTCAAGACTCGGACATGGAATTGTCAGCGCGGCTGCGCGCGCGGCTACACCGCTATTCCCTCGATGGTGGCCTGTTGTTCTACAACACTGACCCCGAGGATACGCCCCGCGTGGTCGTCCCTCATGATGAGGATCTGAAGTACCGCATCCTCTATGAGGCGCATGACACGCCGCTGGCCGGCCATCTTGGCCGTGAGAAGACCTACAGCTCGGTGAGCACCCACTACTGGTGGCCGAAGCTGTACAAGTGGACGAGCACTTATGTGCGCACGTGCGAGACGTGTCAGCGCGTGAAGTCGTCACCTCATGCTGCAGCGCCGTTGGCGAGTTTGCCTGTCCCTTCGGGCTGTTGGCAATCCATGAGTATGGACTTTGTGTTTGGCCTGCCGGCGGATGCGGCGGGCAACACAGGAGTCGTGGTCTTCGTGGACCGACTGAGCAAGATGGCTTACATTGCGGCTGTGCCGGATACCATCGATGGTAAAGGTACAGCAACGCTGTTCTTGGACCGAGTGTTTCGTCAAAACGGACTCCCTGAGTCGATTGTCTCGGGCCGAGACCCCCGCTTCACGGGCAGCTTCTGGAGCGCGGTCTTTGCGGTGCTTGGCACCAAGCTGGACATGTCCACGGCGGACCATCCGCAGACCGATGGTCAGACAGAGCGCGTGAATCGCGTCGTCAAGGACGTGCTCCGCAGCATTTGCGCCGAGACGCCGAAGCGCTGGAGCGCCATGCTGCCACTCGTTGAGTTCGCGTTGAACAACGCCGTGCACGCCTCGACAGGCTACACGCCGTTCTACGTGAACAGTTTGTCTCATCCCCGCGTCCCGCTGACGCCGCCACGTGGTGGCCTCGGGCTTGGTGGGGGAGGAGAAGCCGATTTAGCTGATCGGCTAGCCGATGTCAGCCCGGATACTGTTCGTAAACAGGTTGACGCTTTCTTGTCGACGCGTCTCGGTGTCTTACGACATGTGCGTGACACAATGGCTGAGAGCCAAGACAAGCAAAAGGAGCATGCAGATGCCAGGGGCAGAGGCAATGTTGAAAGTTATGAGTGGTGTTACTTAATGCTAAGAACTTACCTACACATGCAGTGTCTGCCGTCTTCAAGACGAAGTTGCGCCCGCGCTTCATCGGACCTTTCAAGGTTGTGGCCAAGAAGGGCCTTGCGTACACGCTCAATCTTACGAAAAAGATGCGGACGCACCCCGTCTTCTACGTGGGCTTGCTCAACCCGTACCAGGACCCGACGCAGGTGCAGATGGAGGCACCGAGGGTGACGAGGTCACAGGCGCGGAGGTCGCGGTCGTCGAGGACGCAGTCGCAGGCGTCAAGGACGCAACCACCCACGTGGGCACCGCAGGCACAGGCGGAAGAATCGGCGCCGGAGGTGCCGCGGGCACAGCGGGAGCCGCAGGCGCAGGAGGCGCGGCAGTCGGAGCCTGCATGCGGGCCAGGAGGTCGAGCTGACCCTGAAGCACAGCCTGCTGACGCTGTAGCTCCCCGAGCTCCCGGCCACGTTGGTCATCGCGATCGCGATAGTATCGCACCCAGTCCTCCAGGGCACCAAGGCGGTCTCAGACCGCTCGAAGCACCTCGATCCATCGCGTCCGCTCGGCGAGCTCGTCGAGTTCGGTGGCAGTCCGGACCAGACGTGCATCGATGTCATGGATATGATCCCGAAGGTGACCCGCCTGCTGCCGCACCTCCAAGAGCTCACTTTGAGTCGCAAAGGACCCCACAGCGGCCTCCACCGGCCCTGCTCGATGAGCATGGGAATCTACATTACCATGTGGAGCGCCTCCTGGCGAAGCGGCGGTGCCGGGGTCAAAACCAGTATCTGGTGAAATGGCGAGGGTACCCTCACTCCGAGAACTCATGGGAGTTTGACGCCAAGACTGCCCAGACGTCGTGGACGCTTTTGATCAGCTTGATCACCAGCGCCCTGAGGGCTCAAGGCCGGTACGCCGGCCGTCCCGCGCTTCCCGGCAATAAGCTGGGGAGCTGCTGGGTCAGCAACATTGCTTCGAGGCTGACCCTGAGCCACAGCGCTCACTCCCTCGCGGGAAGGAGCGGCTGGAGCGCTCGAAGGAGCGAAGCGCGCAGCGTTAAACTGGGTCTGCGGCTGGTCGAGTGCCGAGAGGCTGCGCTTAGCTCGGACCTTCGCGAAATCAAAGCGGAGCTTGCGTTCAATGCGAACATCCACTTCATTGAAGCTGGCTCGGAGAGCGTCCATGGAGCTGAGCTTCCGGCTGTGCTCGGCCCAAGACTCGAACTGAGCTTCGTACTCAATTGAGTCTTCCCCCGGGCTAAGTACCACCGGGTACGTCCGCATGGCGGGCACGGACTTCTGCTGGGCTTGCAACCGCAGCCTCTCGCGATACTCCGCGACAGTCGTAGACTGTGGAGTGAGGAGCCGCTCTCGCATAGACGTACGCAGTGCGAGCTCCTCCGGAGTACGGGCCGCGGGCCCAATGGTGTGCAGCGCGAGAGACTGCTGGAACGCCTGGCGACAAGCCTCCGCGGGGTCGCGAGGCCGGGAGCCGTAGTCAGCAGTGCTGGGGTTCTGCAGAGGCCGCAGCTCGGGGCGCTGGGAGCGCATGGAGCCATCTGTGCCGCAACCTGCTCGGACTGAGCTTCGTCCAAAGGGTTGGAGATGACGGGGCCCAGGGGCACGCCTTCACCACGAGGTGGCGAATACCGTGGCTCAGTGAGCGCGCGCAGCTCGTAGAGGCCGGATGAGCGTTCAGGGAACGGGTTCGGAGTTCGCAGCGGTGGCCGCGGCCCCTCCCTCGACGGCGCAGCGCGCTCTGCAGGTGGACGGCTCGGCGAGCGCACAGGAGGCGTGTGCGCGGGGCGCTCTTGATCGCGACGGCTCGGAGAGCCAACTGGGGCCGGCGAGGCTGCTTCACGACGTGTCGACGTTGTGGGCGAAGCGTTACCGCGGCTCGGGGAGCGTCGCGTGAGTGGGGACGCATCTCCTCGGTTCGGAAAACCCTCCATGGACTCGTCCACCTCGCCCTCTTCACCAAAGAGTTCCCTAGGATCCATGATCTGGCGGGTTGGTGCTCGAGGAGAGCTGGGGCTTGTGCGCTGCAAGCTGCGCTTTAGGCGTTGCGCCGCGAAGTACTCGGACACCGAGAGCCTGGAAGGCGTCGAGGGTGTGCGCGCGGGCGCTGGCGTTCGCGGAGGTGCGGAGGCACACAGTGCAGCAGCACGAGAGGAGCGAGGCTCCGAGGCGGATCTCACGAGAGGCTGTCTGCGGTCGAAAGACCAAAAGGCTTTATGACTTAAAGTCATGTGATGGCGCGTTGCGCCGAGAAGTTCTCAGAGAAGTCCACGCGATGTGGATCGACTCGTTCGAGAAGGAGGCTTGACGGAACAAGACCCGGTGGTTGACCGTTAAGCGTGAACACCCGTGTCCACGGTTTGGTGGGGGAGGGTGTAACGGGGTTACACGAGAGTTACCCGAAGGGTTACGAAGTGGGTACACACTGTCTAACCTAAATCAGTAGGAGAATCAGTACATGGCTTCAGAGCCACTGATTATGCATATGACTAGGGTTCACTATGCTAGATAGTGAACCGGATACATTTACACCGTAGGCGGCTTTGCCGCAATAAAGGGAAATACATTCAGTTTGAGATTCACACAGTTGAGAGTTAAGGGTTGACTCTTGAAGTCCGTTAGGTGTACGGACTCGTACGTTCTGGTATTAGAGCGGGCTATTTTAAGCTGAGACTCTGTGAGTCTGTTAAGTTTCCTCTGACGCAAAGCTACGGCAGTCCCGCTGCACTTGGTAGCACTTGTAGTCAATCCGACACGTGAGTCTGTATAGATTGATCTTGTGTGGAGAATGGAGCAGTTCGCTCACTTAGCCCCGAACCAGCAGGATGCGCTTAAAAAGCTTATGTCCTTGCTGGGCTCGGAGGGCGTGACGCAACTTGCGCAGCAAGGCCCCGACGCGGTGAACGCGCGTCTCGAGGCGTTTTCAAGCTACGAGAATGCTCTCCTAGAGCACCTCCAGCAGAGGATGGCGACGGCCGCGGCGCCCCAAGCGCCCGCTTCGTCATTCGACGCGGGAACAAGACCCAAGCCGCTCATGTTGAGCGTGAAGACCTTCGAAGGCAAGGAGGGTGAAAGCTTGATGCTTTGGACCCGTGAGGTTGAGATGGCTATGACTCCGGACGGAGTCGCAGCGCGTGGTACTAGCCATCTCGAAGCTCGGTGGGCGAGCGAGAGAGTGGGCACAAACGTCCGGGACGTCGGTCGAGGTGGCCTTCCCGACGTGGGACCAGCTGAAACAGCAATTGTCCCGAGTGTTTGCTCCGCCTAACGAGGCGTATCGCGTGCGCTCACGCTTCCTGGCGACCAGGCAGAGCAAGAAGGAGTTGATGGACTATCTCCAAGAGTTGAGAACTCTCATTGCTGGTATGTCTGCGGACCCTCTGCCGGAGGCAGTCACCGTTACGGTGTTCATGGAGGGCCTCCGCACTGGCGTTGCCAGGACGGAGGTGTTCCGAACCCACCCGAGCTCTTTCGAAGAGGCTGTGAGCGTCGCATTGAATGCGGAGCACAACTTTAAGTCGTCGAGACTTGGGTGGAATGCGTCTTACGCTAGCGCGTCGAGTGGTCCGGAACCCATGGACCTCAGCTATGCTGAAGACGAAGAAGCCGAGCTTCGTAGCGTCGCGGTATCCGCAGATGCTTCATCTGTGGTGACACCCGTCACCTTCGTGCTGGGTGTCCGCTGCGCCATCAGCGCCAGGCTTCGTCAAGCCGCTCTTCGAGTTCGAGCCAGGGCTCTGGTTTGTCTCGGGGAAACGAGAAGTCCCAGTAGGCGCGGGGCGGCCTACTGGGGAAGAACTAAGTTCTATTGAGCCTCGGCGAGGTGGAGGTCGACAGGACTTAGCCCCGAAGAGAGCCGTACTCTCTAACACGGAACGTGTATGCAAGCCGGGCTTGCTAGTTGTCTAAGCTTGGGTGAAGGGCTTCACGAAGCCATGGACGATTTTGATCGATTCGGGGGCGTCGGGTAACTACGCCCGGCGTTCTACGATGGACGGAAGTCAGCTTTATGCTGAGGCGCTGGTAGCGCGCGGGAGTGACATCGTCACTGTTCGTCTCGCGACGGGCACTCGTGTCACGGTGCCTAAGGTCCCTGTGGACCTGGGCGTGAAGTTTTTGGATTTTGATAGCGTGGAACGCTGTCTGGTCTTAGACCTCGATTCGAGATATGATCTCATCCTTTGTATGGCGTGGCTGGAACGCCACGAGCCTTGGATCGGTTGGAGGTCGAAGACCCTTGGTGCTACGCACTTCTCTCCTGGCGGAGCATTGGCGAGTCATGAACCCATCTCTGCTAGGAAGCAGAAGCGCTTTTGGCGCGAGCACTGGACCGAGTCGGTCAATGTGCTGGACATCGGAGTTTCCGAGTTGGTGGACACTGAGTGTGTCGAGAACGAACGTTCCGAGCGTGGCTTGCGGACGGCAGGTGGAGCGGCACGAATTCCGCTGAGCGGGTGTGCGCCTGAGGGCGACGCCCTGCTGTATTCAAGTAAAGACAAGGTCGGCATGAAGCCGAGGAGCCATGGGCGCGGCCCGGCTGTTGAAGGATGTGGAGCGGCACTAATTCCGCTGAGCGGGCGTGCATCTGAGGGCGACGCCCTGCTGCGTGCCAGCGACGGCACGGTCGGTATGATGCCGAATAACAAGGGGCTTTGCCCGGATGAAGATCGTGGAGTGGCACGTAATCCACTGAGTGGAGGCTGCGGATCGTGCAGCTCTTCGCGTGTCGGTAAAGACACTGGAGCTCCCCCGGAGCTGAACGAGGTGGTGACACCTGGCGTCAAGACGCACGTGAAATCACGGAGCTCTTCAGGGCGGACGGTGTCCATGAAGAGGAGGCAGCGCCGCAAAGCGCTGGCTGCGAGACGCAAGGCGTCTGCGATCTCACGAGTCGAGAAGGACGTGTCGAGCGGCGAGGCTCCACACGAGAGCGAGCAGCTCTATACACTCGTGAATGGAGTGACGGACGACGTCGACGGTGGTATTAACCTCGACGACTTGCCCTCACTGTCTGCTCTCCTGGAGCTGGACAAGATGTCCTTGGCCGAGTTCGGCGAAGCCTTGAAGGCTGGAGACTTGGCCGAGTTAGTGGTCATACGACCCGAAGAAGAGTTGAACTCGTCCACGCTTCTGGATGAAGCTGTCCTGGAAGACACCAAGAAGGCGCTGAATGCGCGGAGCGGATCGGCGATCTTGAAGGACCCGTCGGATCCCTTGTATCAAGTGGTAAAGGATTACCAGGACGTGGCCTCGAAGGAGCCGCCCTCGGAGCTACCTCCGGATCGAGGTGTTCGACACGAAATCGATCTCGTTCCGGGAACGAAGTACTGCGTGACGAGGCAGTGGCCCTTGCCGAAGGAGCAGTGTGACGTCATTGACGCGTTCTTCCGTACGAAGCACGAGGCGGGCATGGTGCGTATGAGTACTCTACGCCGACGTTCTGTGTCAGAAAGCCGAATGGCAAGTGGCGTATCGTGCATGCTTTCAACAAGCTGAATGCCGCTACCATCCCGGCGCAGACGCCGATTCCACGGAAGGATGTTCTTCAGAACAACATGACAGGATGTACGATGTACAGTGCGCTCGACTTGGTCGATGGATATTACCAATTGTTCATGAGGACAAGCGACATTCCTCTCACCGCGGTGAGTACTCCGAGCGGCATGCTCTGGGAGTGATTGGTGATGCCCCAAGGGCTTTCGAACACGCCGGCGACGTTTAATCGTCTTGTGACGCAGCTCTTCAGGCCCCATCGGGCGTACGCGCAAACGTACTTCGATGACATTGTTGTCCACAGTCGCGCGGAGCACGGAAAGACTGATATGGAGAACCATGTTGAGCACCTGCGTGCTGTGCTCGAATGCGTGCGTCAAAACAAGTTGTACGCCAACATTGACAAATGCATCTTCGGAGCGGAAGAGATCCCCTTCTTAGGGTGCTTCATCGGGAAGCGTGGCCTGAGGGCCGACCCGGTCAAGGTCAAGGCCATTGTCGACTGGCCGGTTTCCAAGAACCAAAAGGATCTTCGCAAGTGGCTTGGCTTGGCCAATTACTTGCACAAGTACAGCGAGAGCTACGCTGAGATGGCTCGGCCACTCTCCAATCTCCTGAAGAAGGATGCGGAGTGGTGTTGGAGCACCGAGCATCAAGATGCGTTCGCGGCCATTAAGGACAGTCTCCTTCATGCGCCTATTCTGGTTCTGTCAGACCCCGCTCGTCCGTTTAGTGTCGTCTGTGACACTTCGGACTTTGCCATCGGCTGTGCACTGCTGCAAGCAGACGCCGAGGGGCGCGAGCGCGTGGTGGCGTTCGAATCTCGCCAGCTGAAGGCTGCGGAGAAGAACTATCCTGTCCGCGACAAAGAGCTACTTGCGATGAAGTATGCGCTCGTCAAGTTCAGGGTGCACCTGTTGGGCTCTCAGCCGTTCGTGATTTACACGGATCATGCGTCGTTACGCACTGCGACTCAGTCGCCTCACCTCTCGCAAAGGATGGCCCGTTGACTGTCCTTCTTCGCGGAGTACAACTTCGAGGTGAAGTACAAGCCTGGCAGGCAGAATGTCCTTGCGGACGCGCTGTCGCGCAGGCCGGATTACGAGCTGGCTCATGTAACGACTGTGACTTCGTCATTACCGGATTTGATCCGAACGGTTTATGGCAAGGACGACACCTGTGTCGCGTTGCTGAAGGCTCTGGGGAGCAAGGCGTTTCAAGACTCGGACATGGAATTGTCAGCGCGGCTGCGCGCGCGGCTACACCGCTATTCCCTCGATGGTGGCCTGTTGTTCTACAACACTGACCCCGAGGATACGCCCCGCGTGGTCGTCCCTCATGATGAGGATCTGAAGTACCGCATCCTCTATGAGGCGCATGACACGCCGCTGGCCGGCCATCTTGGCCGTGAGAAGACCTACAGCTCGGTGAGCACCCACTACTGGTGGCCGAAGCTGTACAAGTGGACGAGCACTTATGTGCGCACGTGCGAGACGTGTCAGCGCGTGAAGTCGTCACCTCATGCTGCAGCGCCGTTGGCGAGTTTGCCTGTCCCTTCGGGCTGTTGGCAATCCATGAGTATGGACTTTGTGTTTGGCCTGCCGGCGGATGCGGCGGGCAACACAGGAGTCGTGGTCTTCGTGGACCGACTGAGCAAGATGGCTTACATTGCGGCTGTGCCGGATACCATCGATGGTAAAGGTACAGCAACGCTGTTCTTGGACCGAGTGTTTCGTCAAAACGGACTCCCTGAGTCGATTGTCTCGGGCCGAGACCCCCGCTTCACGGGCAGCTTCTGGAGCGCGGTCTTTGCGGTGCTTGGCACCAAGCTGGACATGTCCACGGCGGACCATCCGCAGACCGATGGTCAGACAGAGCGCGTGAATCGCGTCGTCAAGGACGTGCTCCGCAGCATTTGCGCCGAGACGCCGAAGCGCTGGAGCGCCATGCTGCCACTCGTTGAGTTCGCGTTGAACAACGCCGTGCACGCCTCGACAGGCTACACGCCGTTCTACGTGAACAGTTTGTCTCATCCCCGCGTCCCGCTGACGCCGCCACGTGGTGGCCTCGGGCTTGGTGGGGGAGGAGAAGCCGATTTAGCTGATCGGCTAGCCGATGTCAGCCCGGATACTGTTCGTAAACAGGTTGACGCTTTCTTGTCGACGCGTCTCGGTGTCTTACGACATGTGCGTGACACAATGGCTGAGAGCCAAGACAAGCAAAAGGAGCATGCAGATGCCAGGGGCAGAGGCAATGTTGAAAGTTATGAGTGGTGTTACTTAATGCTAAGAACTTACCTACACATGCAGTGTCTGCCGTCTTCAAGACGAAGTTGCGCCCGCGCTTCATCGGACCTTTCAAGGTTGTGGCCAAGAAGGGCCTTGCGTACACGCTCAATCTTACGAAAAAGATGCGGACGCACCCCGTCTTCTACGTGGGCTTGCTCAACCCGTACCAGGACCCGACGCAGGTGCAGATGGAGGCACCGAGGGTGACGAGGTCACAGGCGCGGAGGTCGCGGTCGTCGAGGACGCAGTCGCAGGCGTCAAGGACGCAACCACCCACGTGGGCACCGCAGGCACAGGCGGAAGAATCGGCGCCGGAGGTGCCGCGGGCACAGCGGGAGCCGCAGGCGCAGGAGGCGCGGCAGTCGGAGCCTGCATGCGGGCCAGGAGGTCGAGCTGACCCTGAAGCACAGCCTGCTGACGCTGTAGCTCCCCGAGCTCCCGGCCACGTTGGTCATCGCGATCGCGATAGTATCGCACCCAGTCCTCCAGGGCACCAAGGCGGTCTCAGACCGCTCGAAGCACCTCGATCCATCGCGTCCGCTCGGCGAGCTCGTCGAGTTCGGTGGCAGTCCGGACCAGACGTGCATCGATGTCATGGATATGATCCCGAAGGTGACCCGCCTGCTGCCGCACCTCCAAGAGCTCACTTTGAGTCGCAAAGGACCCCACAGCGGCCTCCACCGGCCCTGCTCGATGAGCATGGGAATCTACATTACCATGTGGAGCGCCTCCTGGCGAAGCGGCGGTGCCGGGGTCAAAACCAGTATCTGGTGAAATGGCGAGGGTACCCTCACTCCGAGAACTCATGGGAGTTTGACGCCAAGACTGCCCAGACGTCGTGGACGCTTTTGATCAGCTTGATCACCAGCGCCCTGAGGGCTCAAGGCCGGTACGCCGGCCGTCCCGCGCTTCCCGGCAATAAGCTGGGGAGCTGCTGGGTCAGCAACATTGCTTCGAGGCTGACCCTGAGCCACAGCGCTCACTCCCTCGCGGGAAGGAGCGGCTGGAGCGCTCGAAGGAGCGAAGCGCGCAGCGTTAAACTGGGTCTGCGGCTGGTCGAGTGCCGAGAGGCTGCGCTTAGCTCGGACCTTCGCGAAATCAAAGCGGAGCTTGCGTTCAATGCGAACATCCACTTCATTGAAGCTGGCTCGGAGAGCGTCCATGGAGCTGAGCTTCCGGCTGTGCTCGGCCCAAGACTCGAACTGAGCTTCGTACTCAATTGAGTCTTCCCCCGGGCTAAGTACCACCGGGTACGTCCGCATGGCGGGCACGGACTTCTGCTGGGCTTGCAACCGCAGCCTCTCGCGATACTCCGCGACAGTCGTAGACTGTGGAGTGAGGAGCCGCTCTCGCATAGACGTACGCAGTGCGAGCTCCTCCGGAGTACGGGCCGCGGGCCCAATGGTGTGCAGCGCGAGAGACTGCTGGAACGCCTGGCGACAAGCCTCCGCGGGGTCGCGAGGCCGGGAGCCGTAGTCAGCAGTGCTGGGGTTCTGCAGAGGCCGCAGCTCGGGGCGCTGGGAGCGCATGGAGCCATCTGTGCCGCAACCTGCTCGGACTGAGCTTCGTCCAAAGGGTTGGAGATGACGGGGCCCAGGGGCACGCCTTCACCACGAGGTGGCGAATACCGTGGCTCAGTGAGCGCGCGCAGCTCGTAGAGGCCGGATGAGCGTTCAGGGAACGGGTTCGGAGTTCGCAGCGGTGGCCGCGGCCCCTCCCTCGACGGCGCAGCGCGCTCTGCAGGTGGACGGCTCGGCGAGCGCACAGGAGGCGTGTGCGCGGGGCGCTCTTGATCGCGACGGCTCGGAGAGCCAACTGGGGCCGGCGAGGCTGCTTCACGACGTGTCGACGTTGTGGGCGAAGCGTTACCGCGGCTCGGGGAGCGTCGCGTGAGTGGGGACGCATCTCCTCGGTTCGGAAAACCCTCCATGGACTCGTCCACCTCGCCCTCTTCACCAAAGAGTTCCCTAGGATCCATGATCTGGCGGGTTGGTGCTCGAGGAGAGCTGGGGCTTGTGCGCTGCAAGCTGCGCTTTAGGCGTTGCGCCGCGAAGTACTCGGACACCGAGAGCCTGGAAGGCGTCGAGGGTGTGCGCGCGGGCGCTGGCGTTCGCGGAGGTGCGGAGGCACACAGTGCAGCAGCACGAGAGGAGCGAGGCTCCGAGGCGGATCTCACGAGAGGCTGTCTGCGGTCGAAAGACCAAAAGGCTTTATGACTTGAAGTCATGTGATGGCGCGTTGCGCCGAGAAGTTCTCAGAGAAGTCCACGCGATGTGGATCGACTCGTTCGAGAAGGAGGCTTGACGGAACAAGACCCGGTGGTTGACCGTTAAGCGTGAACACCCGTGTCCACGGTTTGGTGGGGGAGGGTGTAACGGGGTTACACGAGAGTTACCCGAAGGGTTACGAAGTGGGTACACACTGTCTAACCTAAATCAGTAGGAGAATCAGTACATGGCTTCAGAGCCACTGATTATGCATATGACTAGGGTTCACTATGCTAGATAGTGAACCGGATACATTTAAACCGTAGGCGGCTTTGCCGCAATAAAGGGAAATACATTCAGTTTGAGATTCACACAGTTAAGAGTTAAGGGTTGACTCTTGGAGTCCGTCAGGTGTACGGATTCGTACGTTCTGGTATTAGAGCGGGCTATTTTAAGCTGAGACTCTGTGAGTCTGTTAAGTTTCCTCTGACGCAAAGCTACGGCAGTCCCGCTGCAGAAGTTAAATAACCAACACGATCGCACCGACAAGTGTCGATGTTGCTAGCCCACAAACAGCACAAAGTCATATCGGAAGGCGAGGAGAACCCTGATAATAAAAACACAGACTGGTAACTACTTCAGGGCCATCATTGGCCCCAAGCGGGATTCTGTTGAAAAGTATGGCCAGCTGTAAACATGACTATGTCAACTCGGTGGGCAAAATTATCTGGACATTCAAATGTTTCTACTAACTCGGAATGGGGTCTATCACACTTGATTTGGCTCAGCAAGACATCTCTAGGCCAACCGCTCGGTGTGGCAGGCAACGAATAGCTCGTCGGATAAATATGTAGCAGTCATCAGCACATTTTAGCGTAATCAACAAATGCATTCCATAAAAAAATTTTAAACTTTTAAGCTTTTACAAAATTTAAAAAAAGAAACTAGGATGCATGCATGAGTTGTGGTATACTTGGTACGAAGGTACCGATGTAGAGGCAAAGGACAAAGGATGCGGTCTATCAAATTTTGATGAAACTGGTTCACCATTTCAAGGCCAAATTGAGAGAAGACGTGCTTCAAATTGAAAACCGTCAAAAGCAAATTGAGAAAACCTGGAAAAACTAGTACTGACTGAGTTATAATTTCACAAAGGATATTTTGACGCGCCCGCGAAATGCTTTATTGCTTCTGCTGCCGGCGTGTTGCTGTAGGCGAGCCGTCACTTTGGCTTTTGCAATGCCATATCGCAAGAACTCCCTCGAAGAACGCCAAAGGGTCCTGACGGCGGCCAAGCACTTCGAAGACTGGGCCCTCACTGCCAAACTCAACGGCGTGCCGTATCCAACGGCTTGGAGATGGGTAACAGAGGCGCGGAAGACGAACCACTGGACGGCGGTGTAGTCCAAGCGCGGCGGGGCCCACCACGTCAAGATGACACCCGAAAGGGTCGACGTTCTTGTCGAGATGTTGTAGAACAACTGATTACTAACTCTAAATGACATGCTGGATGAGCTGAAGGTCAAGTTTGACGTCGATTTTTCGACTCAGACTGTGCGTAATGCCCTCGACGCCGTTTGCTTCACGCTCAAGAAGACCCATGCCGAGCCCGCAGCGATGAATACCGATAGGGTCAAGGCGCTTCGTCGGGAGTATGTCGCAAAGATTATCAAGGCCCAGGCTCAACGCAAGCGCATTCTGTACTTCGACGAAACAAATTTTAATTTGTTCTGCACACGCACGTATGGATGGAGTCGCCGTGGAAGCCGTGCTGTCGTCGTCCGGTCTGGACCCCGCGGAGAAAACCTCAGCGTGATCGCGTGCATTTCTGCTCACGGTTTGGAGCATGTCGAGTATCGGTGGGGGCTAATGATGGGACGGCAATCGATGGCTTCGTCACTAGGCTTCTCGACGGACTCATGGATGCTGGCGTCTCCATGATCGACTGCGTGGTCGTGTGCGACAACGCTTCGATCCACACCAACGTCGAAGACATTCTACACCGCGCAGAGTACGCGGGAGTGGAGATGATCAAGCTTTCCTCGTAGTCGCCGATGTTGAATCCGATTAAAAACGTTTTCTCCGTTTTCAAGTCGGAGGTGAAGGCGTATCTCTCGGCCGAGCGCGACGCGATTCTGCGTGCTCCTCCTGGACAAACGAAGTCGGCGCATCGGGCCGAATATCTACTGCGGGCGGTGAGGCAAAATATGTGCGTCAAAGTAACCTCCGATCTGTGTGACAGCGAAGCTGCCCACACACTGTCTTTCCATCCTGCTGCTTTGGTCGCAGACGACATGCCAGTCGGGGTTTAATACTAGTTATGAGAGGCTATCTGTACTTGAAGTAATTAGAAATGACAGGTTCTCTTGTTTTGATTTTGGTCGTTTTTGTTTTGATTTTGACTTCTCTCAATTTGGCCTTGAAATGGTGTAAATACATGAAGCGCAAGCGCTGTTTACAAGACCGTCAACATATGTATTAAATTACTGTGTACAGGCGTCCCAGGCCTATTCGCCACAGTGGTACTTATGATGTTTGCGAATCAACAAGATTCACGCGGTCTGAACATAGATGAGTATGTACTGACTTACTACAAGCTTAGCTCAAGAATACGGTGGAGGTATTCCCACAACGTGCCACTTGTCGCAGTAGGTCTCGCTGTACACTCATCTAAATCAATATGCTTGCAGAAGTAGCGCGCAAATCTTGAGAGCTTGTTGTACTTCCTGTGCGAGGTACATTAAAATATACAGCCGGGACTAGCCCGGGGACGCCTGTACTTGTATACAGTAAGCCACGTTTGTATATACGGTGCCAGGCGGTGGTCATTCATGATGGGCACCGTTGTCAGTTGTGATAACGGAAATAACCGAAAATTACCCCGGGCGCTATTTATTAGTACCCTCCCATTTTCAAAACAAATATGCTAAATTATGGATATTACCCAGTATAAACATGATTTCGACAATAAATTCATAAATATATACTTGATCTTTGTATGGAAGTAACATTGCAACCCTGGGATACACATTGGGTACGTTTTAGAGGGTACTTCTCTGGCCCACATAAGTAACAACACTTCGGTTTTCTGGGCATAACTTTTTACAAAAAAATCGTTTGGTGACTCGCAATACCTCAACCGAAAGCTGTGCATTTGCTCCGTTTCACGCTATGATTTTAAAAAATCTAGCAGCAGAAAGATAAGAGAAACAGCCTTTCATCTGAAGTCCGTTCTAGGCAACATTAGGTTTTTAGCGAGGTGCCGTCAAAACTTAGCGATATTAGAAAATAAAATATCACCGTAATCGCGAGTGACTGCTTTACCCTTATGTTCAGTTGTCGATGTTGTAGCGCCTGTTGGAGACGAGTTAGAAGGGCTACGGTTTTGAGGTTTTTCTACGCGATTATCTCGACATGCGCAGACCCATTTATTTTGGCCAATAGTAAGATGAAACAGTTGATTATACCCAATCATTTGTGACATGTGGTCCATATCAAATTAAGGTTTAATGCTGAATGTTGTTTCTTAACCCTTTCGTGGCCAACAGGTGCATTTTGACCCTTGATGGTTGTTTCAAAACCTGCGAGTAAAACCGCCGTGAAGGGGGTCAAAATGCCAACTACGAACCCACCTACTTTTAAAACCGCCACTCACAGCGAGTTTGACTCTCCCACCCCTTGAATAGATTACGCTGTGTGGCAGACATAACAGTAAAATATGCGTTTAAGTACGTCATTTATGAAGATTGCGTCAGCAAATACCAATAAATTACGAGTTTAAGGCACACGTAGCTTCAATGTTCTAGTCTCTATCGCTGTAGGCAGGCACGCCTTCGCGTCAACCACGAGAAGTTGAGCTAGCACGGCCAGCGTGGAGTTGAGTCTCCAGCTACTCCGTGGCTGGTGCCGAGCTGCACCGCCACCCCGCGCTCCTTCCGCTTCATGACGCTCACCACCACGCGCCGTTCACGAACACACCCTCGGTGTTGGCCGTGGCCAACACCTCTGCGGCTCTGTCGAACTCGCGCTTCACCTCGTGCACGGCCGCGCGTTACTCCTTGACGCTGATGGGCGAGAAGGAGAAGGCCGCCACTGCCCTCCTCCTTCTTCCCGTCCTCCGCCTTGGTCTTGTAGCCGCTGTACCGCCTTCTTCTCCTCCGCCTCCAGCTCTGATGGTGGCGATGCAGTGGTGGCTTGGCGACGGCTGTGCAGCGGTGTATCGGCGACGACAGCGCTGTCCGCAGTGCGCTTGCTGGTCAAGTGGCGGCAATAGCGCCTCCGGCAGTCGCAGTCTCCGTTGCTTTGTTGAGGGTGCTTTCAACGCCACCACCGCCGTGCGTGCCTTGCGTCCGTCAGTCGAACGCAGCCAGCAAGCGCTTGTAAGCTACAAAAAGCGCAATGCCTACGTATCAACATTCAAAGGATTAGTTTGGTAATTGTATATAGAGCTATCAAAAGTGATGCAACGATAGATACGGGATATCGAGTTTTGTTGGAACCATTTTTCATAGTGAAATACAGTAATATGCACATGTATATTTCAATAGTGAAATCAAGATAAATACCCACTTCGCGACTGTGTCTGGGCTTGGAGCTGGCATGGTGCCAGGGGCTATCATGCGGGTGACCTGCAGTGGTCTTATCAAAGCGGAAGGAGCTCCTACCAAGTTGTCAAGAGGTGGCGGGTGTTGCGGCGCGCCAGCAAAGGCGCTACTGACAGCCCCATGCGTCACCAGCGAGCGCTTCTAGCGCTCGTAGAGCTTGCGCCGGCTCTGACGAATTCGTGCCATTATCTACTATTCATTACATTAGATAATGGCGCGAAATCGTCAGGACCAGCGCGCTGGTGTGACAGCGAGCCATGATTGAAGTTAGACGGTAAGATTCAAAGTTGGATCTGTGATATCTTTCAGGGATCTGCACGCATTACGTGAACATCCTGTTCGATCGATAGCCAATCACATCACTTGCATCAGATTTGGTTTGAGATTGCCACACTATTAGCCAATAAAAAATGGCAAGCAGAAGTACCGTAAGTTGTGAAGGGGGGCAAAATGCCCCCGTTCACCATCTCCATACCACTGTGTGGAAGAGACACTCATTGGAGCGAGTACCGTTGTTTATGAAAGGGGGTAAAATGCTAGTTTTGTATACCATACAAAACCAAGTCAAAAAGGTGTGTTCACGAAAGGGTTAAGTGGGCCAGAGAAGTACTATCTCTTCGTGCCCGGTTGGTTAGGACATGTTTTTACATACAAAATTCAAGTCTAAAATATCGTGTGCAAATCCCCGGAATATGTGTGCAAAACATGCACTTTTGGAAGAGATGACCTCCCCGTCTTTTTATCACGTATTTATAATATTCGTCAATGAAATAGATGTCAACCGTCCATTGCACCTTTTCGTTGCACACGAAAAAATGTACTTTTTCAGATTACCATATCCTGTTGTTTGATGTCTTGGAGCCAATATCAGCTCTTTTTCTACGTTCTTTTCGTCGCTGAATTTGTCTCTTTTATCGCTTTTCAATGGTATTTTCAGATGTTACTAGCACCACCTGGATGCTTAGATATTATATGCGAATGCATACGGGTAAGGGGTATTATTCGGGAATTTATGTTAAATGATGGACCGAATTTGAGATTTCCTACAGGAACAGGGATTCGTAGTAATAACAAAAATATTAATGTATTAATACATATATATATCAATATAGCAATATTAATATACCGGTTGTTGGTATAATAATACTAGTAATATAATACCGAAAGATTTGTATCGATATTATTGGGATATTAATAAAATGACCAAAATAATATACCCACTACCAGCTACCACCACTAGGGGGACAAGGATGGAGACTGGACCTGCGAAGGAAAACGTATTCAAGAAGTAGAGCGCTACGGATTTCAAGCTGAAGTGGTGGTAGTAGCGCGCAGATAGAGTACTTCCGAGCGCTTGATGAAGACATGCGCGATGCAGAAATCTCAGTGTCTGCTTGTGGACAGAATCTGTTATCACGGATAACAGATTCTGTCTGATAGGGCGGGTTAGTGGAGGCAAGTTAGTTTGGTGCTAGGCTAGCAAGTGGTTGGAAACAGGTCGCTACTACTTTAATGCACTTCAAAGTTGTGTTGAGCTGACTTTTTATCAAGCGTTATAATGATCTTAAGAACCTGTGAAGTAAGATATCGTGTTGGCCGTAGTCGCAGTACGAACGTAACGTTCAATCCAGTACCACAGGTATTAGTGTTCTCCATATACACTAACTGTAGAGTTAGCTGTACGTAACAGTTAGTTAGGGTGTGGTCCCCAGTTCCGCTGTTTCTTTCCGTCGAATTGAACGATCCGCCAATCGAGAAGCATTCAGCAGATTCCTCTACCCGCTAAACTGGTTGAGGAACACGTTCGCCGCCATCCACTACGTTCGCGAAATTGCACTCTGAAATTTTAATATAATTCACCATAACATGGCTTCATTTTTTAGATAAAGCCACCTATGTTATGGTGGAGGGTGTGTATGCAATTACGAGGCAGGCGGTCGCGTACGCGACGCTGAGTTCGATGGACAGCGTCTTGTAGATGGCGAAGAAGAGCGTCATGACGACCGGGAATACCACCCTCGTGGCGAGCTGCAGGACGTGAACCAGCGTCTTCCTCCCGTTCTTGCGCATGGTAGACGCTTCGGTGGGCAGTGGGGTGTCTGGTGTGCCGCGCTTCGCGCGCAGGAAGCGACCGACGCTGTCGCCGAGTTGCCCGCGGTGTTGTTGGGGGCTGCTGCGTGCTGTTTATCAGGGTCTCTATAACAATTTGACAGCCGGCAGCTGGGCCGTTGTGTCCGGGTTGCACGAGCCGCAAGTGAGTGTCGCGTCCGTGACCGCGTTAATCCAAGAGCTTCTTAGGCGCCATCTACAGGCTGAACCCGAAGGCCGTCGCGTAGACGGCCGTGTTGTGTGCCGGTGAGCCCCATAAAGTGGTCCTGAACGTGGAATCCGACGCCGATAAACTGCATGTTGTCTGCTCGACGACAAACAGCCACGGCTGCATGATGACGCTGGGCGTGATGCTCGTGTCCTAGCGACCGCAGCCGATGTATTGGTACGTTTACACACACGAAGGCCTTGAGACAGCTGCGACCTGGTTCACCATGGACGAGGCCATCTTGGCCCGTGCACGAGCGCTGCCATCTCTCTTGTGACGATAAGCGCAGAAGACCACGACGCACTGCTCGCCCACTAAGCGTATTTGGGATTGCGAGAGAACCGCACCCGAGTGCAGTCTCCGTTATCAGTAGGCTATAGTATGCGATACT